GTTAGTAGTAGTAGTAGTAGTAGTCGTAGTAGCAGTAATCGCAGTGTAGTGGTAGTTAGTAGTAGTAGTAGTAGTAGTAGTAGTAGTAGTAGTAGTAGTAGTAGTAGTAGTACTCGTCAGCAGAGTAGTAGTAGTAGTAGTAGTAGTAGTAGTAGTAGTAGTAGTAGTAGACAGGACTGCACCTTGTAGGAATAGTAGTAGGGTCGTAGTAGTTCGTAGTAGTAGTTAGTAGTAGAGTAGTAGTAGTAGTAGTGGTAGTAGTAGAATAATCCCAGTCGTAGTGCTCCAGTTATAAGTTTTGTAGAGTAAACCAGTAAGTGCAGTAGCCATCAGCCACGAACACAGTAGTGGTAGCAGTGGTAGTAGTAGTAGTAGTAGTTGTTGTTTGTAGCAGAGGGACAAACGTAATCGTAGTAGTGGTAGTAGTAGTCGTAGTAGTAGTAGTAGTAGTAGTAGTCGTAGTAGTAGTCGTAGTAGTAGTAGTACCTTAGTAGTAGTTCCTTTATTGCAGTAGGTTGTAGCAAATCGTAGTCGAGTAGTAGTAGTAGTAGTAGTAGTAGTAGTAGTAGGTAGTAGTAGTAGAGTAGTTAATTGTGCTAGTTACTAGGGGAGTAGTAGTAGTAGTAGTAGTAGTAGTAGTAGTAGTAGTAGTAGTAGTAGTAGTAGTAGTAGTACAAGTACCAGTAGTCGTAGTAATACTAGAAGTCGTAGTAGTAGTAGTAGGAGTAGTATAGTAGTCGTAGTCGTAGTAGTAGTAGTAGTAGTAGTAGTAGTAGTAGTAGTAGTAGTAGTAGTAGGAGGAGGAGGAGTAGTATCAGTAGTGGTGCTATGAGCCGTGCATGTAGTAGTAGTAGTCGTCGTTGTAGTAGTAGTAGTAGTGGTAGTAGTAGTAATAGAAGTAGAAGTAGTAGTAGTAGTCGTAGTAGTAGTAGTAGTAATAGTCGTAGTAGTAGTAGTAGTAGTAGTAGTAGTAGTAGTAGTAGTAGTAGTAGTAGTCGTAGTCGTAGTCGTAGTCG